TGAAAACCAAGGTGGAACATGAACAAAACAATATCATGTTGCTTGCTAGCAAGGACCCCAGTCACTTAAGCAAAGGTTTATGGGGAAGCTTCATTTGCTAACATGTCAAGCCACATGTGTAATGAAGATGCTGATGTTGTGCCAAATTAAAAGCAATTGGGAATAAGCAAGTGTACTGGAGATGTGAGAAGCCTTGGTACTACCAACTTTGAGCTGCTGTTCCTATTATCTTAAATCAACCAGAGCAGTGAATCTTCACCCTGACTAGCTGAACAGGGAAGAGGGATCCTTGTTCCCTTATACTCTTTTTCAGTGTTGCTTTTCACACCTTTGCATTTCTCTCTTTCCTAAATTTGTATAAATTATATACTTTTGCATGTGTAATTGAAACCAAATTAACAAGAGTTACACTATCTCATTACTAAAATAGTTTTTGCATTTTCTGATCAATTTTACACTCAACAAATAATATACACTGCAGACTTTGACCTGGAGTTTCCAATAGTGTCAAACTCACTTTCCTCAGGCTGCATTTTGTTGTTAATCCCATCAGAAATGCTCAAGGCTTAATTCAGTGTTCTAGTGTAGCAAATCCTAAAATAACATTATGCACTGGGAGGTGTACTTCCTTCATTAAATACTGTAGGATGGTTCCACAAACATTAGAATCATGGTCTTCATTGTTTTTTTAAGCTTGGCATAAAGCCTGTGAAAGATTAGAAATTTTTGCAGAGCTCCTCTGTGGGAATTGTGGGAATATAAAAGAATTGTGGGAATATAAAACCAGACAGTGGAGGAGAATTCATCATGAGAGACATAAGGTCTTTAAAAACTGGTAAAAGGAAATACAGAACATATCGCTCCCAAGAACGGAACTGAGATCTGAAGAAAAATCCATGAAATAAGAGATGGAACACAAGATGATTCCTTCTTCTGGGCAAGTCCACCAGTAAGAACTTTCCAGAAACAATAAAGTAACATTGATTTTTTAAAAAAAACCCCAAACTACATAACCTTAAAGTATTATTTGCTCATGTAGTCTTTTAAAATTAACTTCTTGAAATGCCTGCGGTTCCCAGGGGAGTGATTTTTTCTTGTTTGTATTTATTTTACCTTATTACAGACATGAACTTAGAGTTTTATAGCTACAGTTCAGAATCAGATATGGTATAGTCTCAATAAGGAAGTTTTTGTGTAACTAACTGCTATATATTTAGTAAATTCCACTGGTAGCTATGAGGTAGAAATAAGCTTACAAACCCAAAAGAAAATGAAAGGTTGAGGCCAAATGATCTAGAAGTAGAACTTTATATTGATATTTCATTGGTAAGAGGTTTATATTAGTAATGTCTAGTAGTGGTGGTGAGTTACAGTGAGATAAACCTTTTGTCACGGTTTAGAGAATCAGGAAACATGAATTAGCTACTTATTTGCAAGTGTATAGGCTAGATCCACTGTACTTTGCCCAAACGCTCTTCAGTCACCTTCCATCACCTACAACAGAAACATGAACACAAAGATGTGTCCTAATTTTCCATTTCTGTATGCCGGTGCTAGCTTAGTGCAAATCCAGGACATGCTGAACATTTTAGGATATATCTACAGACCTGACCATTATACAGTAAATAGCTAGGTATTTTAGCTTTAAAAGGAGCTAGTAGAAAATGCTTACAAATGTACTTACTCCCTACAACTAGGGAGTTATCACAGATCACCTTTTCTTCATTTTTTAAGAAAGCCTACTTTATGGTTTAACTGAGAGCTAAAAGTTCACATCACTGCTCTTCTACCTATGGTAGTGCAGACCACATTTCTGGCTTGTCTATGAACATGATTTTCCAGACATTATGAAAAGCTATTTTCTTTGAAAATAAAAGGAGCTTATGTTCTCAAGATAAAATATTTTAAAACCTTGAAATAAAGGCTTCAAAACTTGTAGCAACTATGTGAAAAATATTCAATAATAAAAATCCTAAAACTAAGCACAAATTTTTGCTTGAATATGCAAATCATGTGCGATAGGAGTCTTTGTACACGCTGTGGGAATGTTGGCAATGTGCTATGAGGTATTTTTATCTTTCTGCATTGCACTGTTTAGGCACAGCGCAGGATGGCTTGCAGTTACTGAACTTTCTGTTTATTAACACAGACTTGCATTAAAATTTTCCTATCCTCTGCAAAAATAGTATGACCAAAGTGCTTCTTTTGAACAATTCTGAACACCACTGCTTGTACCTTCATTCTGGAGTCAGCAGCTGTGTCCTGCTGATTCAGTTCACATGGTGTGTACAGGTCCCTTTTAAGTATTCGGAAATCCAGGAGTGTCTGAAAGTTTCATTTATCCCCTCGTAGCAGCATACAGCACTCTCAAACCAGGAACTTGGGCCTTGCCATTATGCTAGATCATCCTGAGGAGGCAGAGTGACTACAAAAGAGGGTCAGATTATCTATCTGACTTACTTTATTCTGAATGGCTAAAACAGAGACTCAGAAATCATAACTGAAGCTCAAAACCATACTCAAACCCAGACTGGTTTTGTTAGTAGACAATACATCTCAGAGGAAATAAAGTATTTCTGCATAATAACATACTACCTTAGCAGACTGCAGGACATGATTTGAGTCTTACACAGAAGACACAGACTGACTGTCATTTTCCCTTGATGTCTGTTGAGACACCCCTACACCTTTCCCCAAGAAAAGCAGAAAACAACTCATGGAAAGTTTGACTGAAATAGAAAAAACATTCCTTCACCTGGATAGTAGTCAAAACTGCCTACGCTTTCCAGGGACTCAAATACATCCTGATACATTGAACTACAGATTAAAAATACTGGTTACTTTTATTCATCTCAGTGTGATTTATGGGGATTTCCTTAAGAGAATCAATTCTCTGTAAGAGAGCCCAGCCAGTAAATATAGAAGAGATTTCAGAGTTACTTCCACACATTTAATTCCTTTCAGAGTAATGCACTCATAGAAGGAAATCTAAAATGCAAAAGTAAAAGATGGGCTAGCTAAAGCCTATGAAGAATTGATTGCAGGTGGCAGGGGAGGTGGGAACCCTAACATTCTGAACACATAATAAAATCCAGTCTACCTGCTCAGGGTTGTATATGCTATAAATTCAACATATACCAGAAACAATTGTTAGAGTGAAGAGGGGAAAAAAGAAATTAAGAAAGATCCAAATAGTAGACAAACAGGTTTAGTTCTGGCATTTCCTAGTCTTTTTAGCTGGATTTTACAACCTAGAAAATGTTTAAGTAGTTTTATGTATGATTTCTGAAAGGAGAAATTCCATTATGCAGCATCCTGCAATATTCTTTCACCCATCAGCAAGGAAGACACCTTGAGGTCCACCATGCAGATCTTGGCTGCCCAGGCTAATGCAGTAATTAATAGCAGTAATATCCATCAGCTCTGCAGGTAGGCATGCAGTAACATGTCAGTCACTTTATAAGTGGATTCACAAATATTTGCTAACAGCAGGGGATTGGTAAGGTTTGGGAATCTTGGTTCTGGGTGGATGTCCTTAAAACAGGCCCCCCTCTGGCCAGCTGCCATTAAAACAGGCCCCCTCTTGGTTCTGGGTGGATGTCCTTAAAACAGGCCCCCTCTGGCCAGCTGCCATTCTTATCCATGGTGTTACACCACCTATCCATGGTGTTACACCACCTATCCATGGTGTTACAGCGTAGTCTGACCTTACGTGGCTACGAGGCCTCTCGCCACCTCCTGACATTCTCTTTTAATACCAACTGCTCGTCACCTGGAGAAATCAGATGCAGACCTGTTAAAGGTAATTCAGGGAAAATCTGCCATCGACTGTAGAGGAGGACTTGAGTGCTCATCTCTGAAGAAGTTTGAGCACTGACTTCTTAGCAGTTAGAGATGCAAGTGGATGGAAATGGCTCAGTGAAGACAGTCTGGCTATTTTAGCTGCTTAGTAGAACCATGTAACTTCTCCGTATGCACATAGTGACAGATTCTAATCACCCAACTCATAACTCAGCTCATTTAGATACATTATCATAAGAACATCACAAAACACAAACCTTTACAAACAGATTTCCCTGACAAATTTAAAATCCCATTTTTTAAAATGAAGAGAACAATGAAGCATTTCAAAGAAAGCACCAAGAATGTCTAAGAAATAAAACAGATTTCCATGAAACATGAACTAGCTTTCCAGTATTTTTTACATATAAAGAATTAAAAGAATAGCTTTTACTAAACCCTTCTCAGCATTTGGTCTCAAGGAGGAAAGCTGGGGTAGTTAGTTGTGGCTGATTCATTAGTCACATGGTATCATTCCCACAGGATCACCCACCTAACAAAAGCAGATCTGTGTCCTGATCCCCCTGATCCTATACCTCCCCATTCATGAGAAGAGCATGTTGGGCTGGAAGCAGCAGG